AATCTGTTGTTTGAGAACTAAAAGAGAAAAAACAGATACAGTTATTGGAGGGGTTGTTTAAGATTGTAAAGGGAATTGATAGTGTTGATGCATCATCTTTTTTTCATATTTAACAGTGAGAATAGTAGGACTATGGAACACAAATATAAATTTTGGCAAGGTAGCAGTCATCTTCAGCTAAGACAGTTTCATTTTTCTAACAGGATGGTTGGCCTTTGGAATGGGTTGCCTTCAGGTGTTGTAGAGGCAGTAAATTTAAAAGAGTTTAAGAAAAAAGCTTGATAAGTATATGAATGATAAGGGCTAGCTTTAAGATTTTTTTTAAATTATTCTAATTTAGTTTAGAGGACGGAACAGCTGAGATGGACCAATAGGTCCCATGTTGTCCCAAAACATTATGTTATGTAAAGAAAAAATCTTGAGAGAAGAAAAATAAAAGAAGCTACATACATTAGAAATTAAAAACAAGCATTGAACCAAGGCCAAGGAACAAAAATTAACAATATCTAGGTTACACTAATAAAAAATATTCAACAGTTAACCATGTAACATGTTTCTCAATGAATAAGATTCAAACATTTATTGGAACCTTCTCTTTAGTTCTCAGACAATAGATACAAACTCCATATATTACCAAACCATAATGACCTGAAGAAGGAAGATGAAAGTGATCCCAAATATCATTCAACTTAAATTACCAAGCAAGCACTGTGTATAATAGTATATTTTTTAATTATACATATACCTTCATCACAAGGATGCATTTTGCATGGTTCTTTATCATACGGTCGTAGGCCTGCATCACAGTTCTTAGACGAAACAACATCATCTTCACTAATGCATAGTATTTTCCTTGTTCTTTCCCCTCCTCCACAAGGAACAGAACACTAACATACCAAACACAAAAAATACTTTATAGTGCAATTACAGTTATTATAAGTTAAACACGTCAGATTATTTTGTGTATGAATATTGAAAAATTTTAAATAAATTAGTTTAAATAATGACAGCAAATTTTTGCAATACTTCTTAGAATAAATACAAATATTTAGCTTCCTTAATAAATTACAAGCTGTTTGAATGAACAATGATCTGCAGCTCTTTCTAAAAATGTCCTCTAATTATAATAACACAATTACTCAAATTTGAATTTTAGGTGATGTGGTAAAACAGGAAAATATAAGAAATATGTTCAAGTTTACTGATGTGGTTATTAGATTTAATGATTGTAATGGTTTCTGTTAGATCACGTTTATCCACAAATACTAATATTTCCAATATACCAAAACATTTACATTAATATAACTTACTCTATTCCAAGGCCCAGTAAACCACAATGCTTTACAAGGAGGTGCTGTGCAGTTTTGGGTTGCTGCATACTTTTTATTGATGTTACATTGACTTTCAGGAGCTTTAACTACTACATCATCCTTCCAGTAGCCACAGAATACAGAACGAGTCTGAATCCCTTCTCCACACTTAGCAGAGCACTGAAGATAAAGGAGAATTAATCATTTATAGTTTTTTTTTTCATAGCTCTCCATTTCTTTTATAAATTATTTGTCTTTGTACAAAAGCTTGAATCTCATAAATGGTTAAATATCTTTACTTTTTCCAAGCCCTTAACTTAACTGTAGATTAAAAACAAAAACAAGTCTTTCATTGCTATTTATTATAGCTATTTTGCAAGTTAACCTCTCTTTCATAATTGGTTCAATGTATGTGTTTGAGGAGCCATAGCCATAAATTCTGAAGCTTGGATGTGACATGGATTACGTGGAATATAATGATACATCATGGTAAAGAGTTTGGAGTTGGAAAGTTACTATATTTTTCAATCTACCTGTTGAATCAATGAAAAGACTGAGCTATAGCAATATAATATGTAGAACTAAGCTTGAATGTAACAGAGCATAACAATATATTAATTGTGGTTTTTGTTTCTTATGATATGAGAAAATACAAGGTAGAAGAAAACGTTTATGTCTTTAAGAGTATAAATTAGCAAATCTCTTAAAAAATATTTTATTAATCAATTACAAATATAAGCCTATGTATTGTATGCATTAAAAATCGGCTTTTAAGATTCTTAATGTTTTTCTTCGTCACAAAAATTACCATAAGAAGTTAATGTTTTAATATTTTAGGCAGACTGAAGTTACTTACTTCACTCCATTCTGAGGCAAACCATAAAGATTCACAAGGAGGAGAATCCATGCAAGGACGACTAATTTCAGGTAGTTGATTTTTGTCACACATTTCATTAAGGAACACCTTACCTTCCTTATTAGCACACTGAACTTCACGAGACTCCATAGTCAAGCCGCAGGATGTATCACACTATTAATGAAAAAAACACTGATGGAATTTCAATGCATTAGAAAAAATAATACACTAATCTCTTAATGCTAATATTAACATAGGAACAAACATAAAAGAAGCATGTTTGCATACTGTGAAGTTGTGAATATACATATAACAATAATATATTCAGATAAAACATTGATGACTTGGAATTATTTACATAAATGTAACATTTACACTAATAACTAAGCTCTCATTTCCATGGAGATTATACTCATTGGTAGCATTATTAAGATTTTAATATAATTCCAATGAATAGCTACATAGATTTGAAGTTAATACTATGTCAAGTCTCAGGTGAGAGTAACATAAATGTCTAATTCAAGTTCTAGTTTATTGTATTATTTCAAGCTACACACTCTTATTATTATTATTATTATCCAGTTACAGCAACAACAAGACCTTTCCAACCTTAGTCAACTAAGATAGGCAACTGTTTAAAGAAACTGGAAACAATAGAGATATAAAAAATATCAGAGTTAATCAATGGCACTGAAAATTGTTTCCATCAAACTTACTTTTTGTTCTGATAACTTGAGTACCCTGTTTTACAGTAGTAATTCTGGCTCCCAGTGATAATTGGAAGAACTGGTATACATTTATCTTTTCTGAATAGGAGACTTATATTGACTTCAGAAATAGCTCCATACTCTCCAAATTATTTAGATTGAGAATACTAACTTACAGCTCCCAATTCTTTTTGTAAAAAACAAGTACCTTTAAAAGTAATACCACCAAAGAATGTGATGTGCTCTAGGTTTATCTTTAATTTGTTCATTTGTAATATGGAAAAACCTAATTAATGTTTCCTTTTTTTTCTTTTTAGTTTACATAATGTAATTACTGAAATAGTCATACATTTTATCTTTCCATAACCAGTGTAGAATTTATATTTAATCAGATATATGCAGGTACAATTTTACAACGTTTCATGCAAGTGTTCTCCATATAGTAAAATATTATTCTTAATCAAATGTTGAAAGGACATAAACATGTACTAACCCTTTCAACCAGTTGAAGCTTGCATATTCCAACAGCTAGAGCCTGGTGTTACTGTACTTTGACCTTATGCCTGAATTTCTTGGGGAGGGGCAAGCCCATCTCAAGAGATGATGCAGATTCTTAGTTGTATAAATTGATATTTGCAATAGTATGGGAGGTATGCAGCATTGTATTCTGGTATACCACACTTAAACATTTTGTCTGATTTTTTGTGGTAAATGAGAATTCCCTGTGTCTTCATTCGGTATGGAAAGTCTCTCATCCCAACACCCAGAAGAGTCAAAGAAAAGGCTGTAAGCTGGCCAGTAAGCATTAATACTTGCAAACATTGTGTGAACAAAAGTTTTGTTCGAATTGCTAATTTTTGTTTGTGTTTCCTTTGCAGTCTGTTTTCAAGGAATTCTCTGTACAACATTTCTGGAATCTATTAATTACAGATAGTTTTAAAATAATCTGCTGAATACCACAGGTTAGTGAAAATGCAACATTTTGAAACCAAGGCCAAAAAATTTGTTATTGTAGAGATATTCTAAACATGGTAATTTTTTCAATCGACTTTCTATACCTGTAACACTATAATCATGATCATGGAAAGACACTTTCTGAGATCACATACAACTTATGGCACAGAGAAGGATGTTGTTTGTTGTTTTCTTAGTGCAAAATTACATAATGGGCTATCTACTCTCTGTCCACCATGGGTAATTGAACACCAGACCTTAGCATTGTAAACATACAACTGACCCATAGGGAGACACACAGAAAAGAAAGCCATGGCTGATATGTGAACAAACTTTGAGAAAGTGACAAGGTTTGGTGTAGTTGTTGTGAAGCACAAAGCTGCAATGGGCTGTCTGTGCTGTACCCACCGTGAGCATTGAAATCCAGTTTTAACATTATAAGCCTTCAGACTTACCATTGAGTCACTGAGGAGCAAGTGATAAGCACTCTCTTAGATCTAGCATGAAAGATTAATGACTGAGTGAAAGCATGAATGGCCTGTATGCGATGTAAGATATCATACAGTAAATGTGGCAGAATAACTTATTCAAACAAAGGATTCATGCATCACCTATGAGTGAAAATGGCAGTCTTTGCTTTCCGAGTTATCAAGAGGTGTTTCAAAATAAGCTGTAGTGCAATATTTCATGATTTGAACAGTTGATTACTTGTAAACTCAACAAGTGAAAGGGTATTGCAGCCCTTACTTTTTGAGCTGTTATTAGCCACTGAAAATCCCAGAGAAATTGCCCATCTGATTCACCTGTCAGAATTGGGACAAAGGCGATTGACACTTTGTCTCAGCCCACTTCTCACATGAAAAGGCCTATAAATGTATGCAAGCATGATGTCAGAAAATAACATGAACTATGACAAGTTAAAAGTGATCTTGGCTAGAGGAAGTTTTATAGTCGTTGTCTCATTTTCATAGTGAATATTAAACCTAGTTAACCCTTGTGTGAATATTACAATCTATAATCTTCCATTAGTACTTCTAGACACTATAAGGGGATTTCTCTTTTACTACCTGATTTTTTTAATTAAAGAAGAAAAGATTATACTATAATATAAACAAGTGAAGATTAAGTACTTCACACTGCATGACATTAAAAGTAATGATGTAACTAGATACAACCAAACCTTAAGCCTAGCATAGTAATATAGTAGTAGTAGTAGCTTAGTGGCAAGTATACAATCTATAACTGAACACATGGTTACACCATATGTAAGAAAAAGAAACACTAACTACCTGTGTACGCTTTGCCCAATATAAAGCTTATAGGGCTGGCTGGGACGCAACAAACATATTAGTGATTAGTATACTATCTATATTGTTGCGTCAGCGGAGGTCATGTGACTAGTATCAAGCCACATCGTTCTCGAACATTCATGTCTCTTCCTTAAATCTCGGGATCATTCTAGATATAGTGTAGTCTTGTATATATAAACCAGTAAGAACTGAGGCAAGGAAGGTATTGAGTCATTGAACTGCGAGAGAGAGAATATTGTTGGGCATGTGAGACATTTGTTGTGAGTTATAGCGTTTGTTATACTGCGACTGTTGAAATTAAGTGTATTGCAAAGTTGTATTCAGAAAGAATAAACCAGTTTTATTTAAGAAAGGACTTGTATCGGTAAAGTTTCTTTGGGAAGAAATTATATGGAAAATTAACTAACGAATGGAGGCGTAAGAAATTGGTGTCAGAGAGTGGGACGAAAAAAAAATGGAAACGAGAAGCGGCAAATCAAACTACAGCTTAGCAGATTTGATGGCAGCAATACAAGAACAGCAAAAGAAACAAGAAGAACAAGAGAATAAACAAGAAAAGAAACAAGAAGAACGAGAAAAGAAACTAGAAAAGAGATTACAGCAGTTGCAAGAAAACCTGCAACAGTGGCAGCTCAAACAGCAAAATAATCAAGAAGAGAGATTACAGCAGTGGCAGCTCGAACAGCAAAATAAACAAGAAGAGTGATTACAGCAGTGGCAAGAAACTTGCAACAGTAGGCAGCTCAAAACCAGGCAAAATAACAACAAGGAGTAGATTTAACCAATAGACTAATTGGAACGA